TGTGTGTGTGTGTGTGTGTGTGTGTAAGCACGCATGTGGAGGCTGGGCATTAATATCAGGTGTCTTCCTCAGCTGTTTTCCACTCTGGTTCTTTTTAGGCAGGGTCACACACCGGACCTGTGTTGAGGCCATTGGGCTAGGTTTGCCGGCTGGCTGCAGTGATGGAAGGCTATCTTTACCTGTCTCTCCATCCCTGAGTGCTGGGTGACAGGTGTACAGGACCACACCCACATTTTACTTAGGAGTTTGCTACAGAGTTCCGGCTTGCATGTTCATATAACCTGTTAGACTACCCACTGGGCATTAGCCCCTTCATGTGTTATTTCTTTGCTTTCTACTGAACATGTCAGTGCCTATGATAGGAACACATTCTGTGCCCCCTTCGTGACAGTGATTTGGTATCTCACCGAGCCCATTTCTTAGCATCTCTTCATGTCAAGTTCATGTTTGCTCCCACAAGGGCGCATCCTTCACTTTCCGCCTAAGCACCTTGACAAACACTGGTGGCCACATGCTGATCTTCACAGCTTAGAGAAACTGAGGTCTGTATTTGTTTTTAGGCAGTTCAACTCCCAAACCTGCATTCCGTGGCCTGCCGTCTGCCTGCAGGATAAAGCGGAGAGAGATTTGGGAAAATTCCTGTAGGTTCCGCTTTAAAAGCCACAGAACTCTCCAGCAGAGCTGGGCTCCCCTGAGCCTTGGCTCCCCAGATGCTGTCTTTGTGCCAATTTTGAGTAGAACTGCAGAATTTGTCAACACAGGACGTGACAGTTAGAAGGGAATTTTGGCATCCATTCCTTTCCGTTGCCAGCTCCCGAGTCCATGCTGTGGCAGCCAGAACATGGACCTTGAAGTCTGGATGGCTTGATTTCCAATTCCGGCTCTGCCTCTCAGGAGCTATGGGACCAGGAACACACATTGCCATCCCTGAGCCCTGGACTTCCTCCTGTTACAAAACGGGGGTGACCGAGAGGAGGTAAAACTGATGACCAGTCAATATCCAGCACCTAGTAGGCTCTCAGCAGTATTCATTTTGGTACCCAGTGTTCTTCCGTCTCAGTTCTGAGGCAACTTACAAGTAAGGCTCTCCAAAGGAGTAGCCAGAGAAGACAGATGTTAAAGGCAGGTGCAGAATTCTGTTCAAGATTTTATAACCTTTATTTCTAGATTTTGTGCCAGAGAAGGAAACCTCAGCTCTTCCACTGGAAAGGAGAGAGAATTCTAACCACCTTCTGCCGAATGCGCAGTAAAGTGGGATAGTGCATGACTTGATTAAAGCTGTAGAATATTTTCCCCATCTGCAAATGAGTGACAATTAAATAGAAACCGCGTTCAGCAATTTCATTACCTGGTTAGGGAACATGCCCCCAAACAGCATGCCTTAGTAATTACTGTACACTTCCCTTAAATACCCCATTTACTGATTGTCTTATAACCGGATGATACACATCCATAATTTTATATTTATGGATAAGTGCTCTTTCCTGACAACTTGAACATCTAAATTATGCAACACAAAATCAGATAATTGCAGAGAAACATTTGTCGTCTGGCTTATGAGATCTCCGGTAAACAGTGTGATTACATGGTGTCTGGAGGTGGGGTCCTGATGTTTGTCAGCTGTCTTTCCGTCAGCATGCTCTTAAAAGTGAAACTCGAATGTAAAGAATGGGTTCCACCCTTGACAACTCTCAGATTGCCAGGTCCTTGCTTTTGTTACCCAGTGTCCTTTGAGCCATGGGTGCAGACAAGCTTAACCAAGGCAGGGACTTTAACAGAGTTTATTCCTCAGTTTGTATCTGCCTTGCTTGCTGGTCACTCGGATCTGACCGCTGACTGAACACTCTTCTTCAGGTAGTAGTGATTGGCTCAGGGCATGGTTATGTGATCTTAACAAAGAGAGTTCCTGTTCACCTCTGGAGTTGAGACAGGTACTGTGGGAAAGACACTCTTGCTTGTGGATGGAAAAGAAAGGAGACTGGAGTTGAAAGGGGCTGGCAGCTGCCATTTTTTTCTGTAATATATTAGTTGCTTGCTTACTTTGATGCGATTAAATATGTTCCAGGAAGCAAATTAAGGGAGGGAAGGTGTGTTCAGGATTATAATTTGAGGGGATACACTTCATCACTGCAGGGAAGATGTGGCAGCAGGGGCAGAGCCTGGTGGGTCATATTGCATCTGCATTAGAAAGCAGAGACAGTGGGGCAGGAACAGAAGGCCTTAAAGCCTCCCTCCAGACAGGCTTCACCTTCTAAAGGTCCCACAGCCTTCCCAAGCAATGCCATCCCACAATGCCAATGTGTTTGGAGACAAAGCATTCAAACACATGAGCCTGTTGGAAAGACTTCCTATTCAAACCGTAGTGCATGCCATGCAGAAAAAGAGAGGGCCCGTTACAGTTGGGTTCCCAGCATGTGCTGATAAAAGACATTGCTTCTTTACCTGAAAAGTATGAAGTTAAGGAGAGAAAAGGGAGGAGGTAAATTGATGGAGGAGGATTGAAGGGAGGGGGAAGAGGAAGTCAGTGTTGGTAGTGTTAAGTAAGACTCAAGGTTCAGACAGGACACCATCCTCACTTCTCCTCTTTCAGTTTAGGCAGAATGCTAATGACACAGGCAGGATGAGAGTGGGGTGGGCTGGAGGAAGGAGAGAGAGAGAGAGAGAAGACAGTGGAGAAAGCTCTGGAGAAAGGCAAAGGGGACAGGTTCTCCACAGGGCTTTAACAACACTTTAGCTTTAGCCCAGTGCATTATTCGTTCTCGAGGGGAATGGGATGAATGTGTGTGTGTGTGTGTGTGTGTGTGTGTGTGTGTGTGTGTGTGTGTGTGAATGCATGTGTGTGCATGTTCCTGTGTGTATGAATTTATTAATATGGCTCCTGCTAAAATAGCAACAGTAGCTAAACCGCACCTAAGA